GGGGGGGGGGGGGTCTCCGCAACTTCTGAACGCCTCGATGCGGTTTACTGGAGAAGAAAACGACTCGCTTAGCAAAATAAAGAATATGGACAGGACATATAATTTAGTCTGTAAACCAATGCAGCTATATGACACTCTGTAAAATTATCTTGGTAAATTGGCCATGACGGGCAACAAAACTTACCTATCGGACGTCGTATGTTTTCTTTTTTCTGACGGACTGAATTTTTTTCTTACTTAGACATGTGCTGGCTCAGCTGCATAAAAAATCACAGTCAAGAAATGAGATATTCCCAAGCAACCTTTTCACCAGATATACGTTTTTTTTTTTGGTTTCAGTTGTTTTGTTTAACAACTGGTTTTCACCCACATTCCATAGGTCATGTCACATAGTGTGCTCTTTTGTGTTGTAGTTGTTACATAAGAAGAGGGGAGCTATTCAGGTTCCGGGTCACGTATTTTACCTGGACACATTTGCACCACAGGGCTTCACATAAAAGAAGAACAATAAATGTGGTCGTGTATTTACTTGAAAAATTACAGCAGGTAGCGGCTACATCCATGGCGGGGTTCTTTTTGCGCGCGCGTATCTTAAATGGAGTGCTATTTCGAGGCCTTTCAAAGAAGGCAATTAACTTGGAAAGGGTGAGTAGAAGGCTACTAGTATATAACGATATCGTATTAATTAAATATTGAAGTGACCGTGATAAAATATATATATATGAACTTATTTTTTTATATTTTGTATATTCCAGCCCCCACACGACTATCCGATTGTGACGGGGTCGGAACATTGGAGAAGAAAACTCCGCACACTATTCAAAGCGAGGGATACAGATGGAGACGGATATATCTCCCGACAAGATTATGTGTTATGTGCAGACCGCGTTGCAAGTTACATGAACCTAAACGGTAAGTAAGAAAACGTCCTTTTGATAGTTTTTGAAAGCGGACTCTTTGTGTTCCGATACATAAAAATTCTGGCCGTAAAGTATTTCTCTTTAAAGTCTACATTTATTTTGAAATGCACGTTGAAATGATGTTTTCAAAAATATCATGTTATGGCTTACCTTGTCTGATTTACAAAATTTATATTTTAGAAACCCGGGCAATTGAGTTGATGAATAAACAGTTGTTAATGTGGGAATTGGTTTCTGGTACTACGGACGCTTCGGGTGACATCAAGATATCTGAAGACGAATATATGTCTAATATACTCAACGGCAACCACAAATCTATGGGGATGGGTTTAGACATCGTTTGCTGCGACTTTGATTCCGTGGACGTTAACAGCGATGGTTTTATTTCCCAACAAGAGCACAAGGCGTTCTTTTACGGGAGGGGCATACCCGTAAAACACTCGACGGATGTCTTCAAAGTTCTCGACACCGACGGGGATGGCAAGTTAAGCAAGGAGGAGTTCGTCCAAGGTTATGTGGACTTTATTTACAGTGAAGATGAAAGCAGTCCTCATGTTTCTTTCATGGGACCTCTCGTTTAACGTATTGAATTGAGAACCGATCATTTTACTGAGCCATTTTTGTGAGGAATTTGCAATTATTACACAGCCTCCTAATAAGGGCCCTGCACAGAAATTCAACTTAAAAAATATCCCGATGTAATGTAAATCACTAAGGACTATATTTTAATTGCACACAAGAAATAGACAATATCTCGGACATTACCGAGTCCTTTCTCTTCAAAATTCGGAATATTGGCACTATAGGAAACTATTTGGAACATTTACCTGCTGCTATATTAATACATGCATGGGTCATCCCAAGACTGAACTACTGCAACTCTGTACTATATGGAAGTCCAGATTACAAGATTCTTCTTTTGAAAAAGGAACCTGCCCTTTTAAAAATCTTGAAGACTACAGTGCATCAAAGGACAAACAGATATGTGACATAAGCACTGTGGATTCGGCATTTGGTACACTAACACTATAATAAAGGTTTTGAACCAATCCTCTGTTACAACTGTTTTACGTGCATTAGACACTTCTAAGCTGAATTACTGCGTCGCTGTACTATAGATGTCCCGATGATAAGATGAACTTTTGAAAACGTATTGAGAACATTTCAATATAACAGCCTAGAGATTACCACACTGCTCCAATATCAAAACAGATGCTTTATAGTCACCAGTTCGAACTAGAATTTGATATTGTAGCTCTTTTTCTTTTTGCATAATCCATGTAACATAATATTGAATAAGTAGAATATAATACAAAATATTACTATATGCACATGATATGACTTAAACGTAAAAATACCTACACTTATCCCTTTACCCTTGGAAAACTCGCTACTGAAAGTTGTCATTACTACACACGGGTAAATGGTGTGGTATGTTTATACCGTCTACTCGCTTCAACGACTCGATCTCAATGTTTTCTCTGCGCACTTTGATTCGGGTTCTTCTTTTTCTTAGAAAATATAAACACTTCCAGGTTAGCCACGACATGATCAACGATCTTCTTCCTGTCTTTTTGCAACAAATAAAATGCATTTTAATTTAAAAATGGGTGGAGCGCGTATGGATAAAGTACCCCATTTATTGTTTTTAATTTTTGAGAAAGAAAAAAAAAAAAAAGAAATATGTGCCCCTTTGGTCCAGGAGACGATTTTTGAGTGAATTAAAACATATAGTTTTAAGCTAATCTAAACGGCGAGGAAATAATAAAAACGCTATAAAACATAGCCATCAACACTCAATTTTTATAAGGTTATAACGTAAACGAAATACATGTATTTAAAAACACATTGCATCAGCGTCTCTGTCTGCTCTACTGCAGCACACCCTCCGGTGTGTCAGCTAGAGAGCACTATAAATCCAGTCCTGGGGGTAAAATGACCTTTCACTGGTTATAAACTGGTTATGAAATCCACAATGTCTTGCACGATAAAAAGCTATAAAAGAAGTATAATTATTATAAGCATAATTAATATAGAACTGAAAAGAATAACGCCACTTCTTCCCAGACACCGGCCCATTTGGTATGAAAAGAGACACTCTCGTGACGACATTTGCCTTCACGCAGTTTTGGGGGCAAAGTTATCACCCTTTTGCCTAGGTAACCTGAAACCAAAGACAAACAAAACAAAGGAAGATGTCTGGAGACACTTTGCAGCACGTGACGCGACAGAGCTAGGCGTGCGTGACAACCCCATTGTGGGAAGAGGGCCTCAAGGGGGGGTATACAGTGAGCACAGTTCATAGGAAATGAGATCAACTTACAGGTACCTATCACAGTAAATGGAAATTATTCATTTCTTATTGAAGATACAAGGAATATGAGCTGAAAACAACAAGTACCCTGTGTAATGGTTTCGTTTCACTAAGGTTGAAGAATTAAAGGCCGTATTCACGAGTCACGGGAATGGGGTTCTTCACTGAAATAATATTTAGCGTTTCAAAAATAATAAAGTGGCTTTCAAGATTAACGAAAATACGCAGTGGGACCCTCTTTGAAAGGAACAAAATTCTAACAAAAGATATCCATAGGGGCAAAGTTTATTGCACTGTGGGTTTCGTTTAAAAGGAAAAACATACAAGACGCCCGTGTATTTTATCGACACTCCCAGCAGAACGATACAATGGCGGGACGTCTTTTTTCTAGACGCATCTTAAATGGCGTGTTTTTCAGAAGTTTTTCAATGAAGGGGATTAATTTGAAAAAAGTGAGCTTAATAATATACACATATTAGAATAATGATTGGATAAACATTTCCTTATCAGAACATGTCGTACAGTGCAGCTGAATTAAATGGGAACTGGAATCTATAACGAAAATTTTCAACCGATTGTGAAGTGTGTTTTGCGATATACTTTATAGTATTTAAAGGCAATAAAAACAGATGAATGTTATAAAACTTCTTTGGCATTTACTAAGCATAATACGAAGTGATTTGAATCTAATCTCAAGTCTTCAAAGCTTTGTTAGTAATATCTGACAAGAAGATTACGCCAGGCAATTTTGAGTCTCAAAGACATAGTAGAAACTATATCTTTCGAAAAAATAGATTATTCATAGCAGTTTTCCAACGTTTTTTCAGGGGCCACATGATTATCCGGTTCCGACAGGATCCGATCATTGGAGAAGAAAAATTCGCACTTTGTTCAAATCAATGGATACAGACGGTGATGGATATGTCACAAAAAAAGATTTTGAATTAAGTGCACACCGCCTTACAAGCTACCTGAATCTAAACGGTATTAAAAGTTAAATATATATTTGTGGCTTTAAATTAAAAAATGAAATATAATGATACACCTTCTTTGTCATCAAACTATCGAAGTTTTTAATCCTGTTTACAATTAAATATATATTTATCCTCAGTATGTTTTATTTAATCAATTTCAAAATAGGCATTTTAATTCTTAAAAAGCTTGTGGTAAGAAATAATTGTGCAAATAATAAAATAGCGGTTTGATGAATTTCAGAAAAGAAAGCGAAAGAGGTACTGAAGATGCGGCTGTTGGCGTGGGAGGTGGTTTCTAAAGGTAAACACGATGATTGCAGCATATCTGAAGACGAATATGTGTCCTCTATATATGACGCCTGCTCTGCTTACTCAGAGCTATTTATTAAAATTATCATCAGTGAATGCGACTTCGCGGATGCTAACGACGACGGTTTCATAACTCGCGATGAGCACAAGGCGTTCTTTTACGGGAGGGGTGTGCCTGTAAAACATTCGGCGGATGTCTTCAAAGTTCTCGACACCGACGGGGATGGCATTCTAAGCAGAGAAGAATTCATTCAAGGTGCCGTGGACTTCGTTTTTAGTGAAGACGAAAACAGTCCCTACGTGCATTTCATAGGACCACTAGTTTAACAATTTATACGAACTTTGATTATTGTAAAAGTGTACACTATTGCATAAACATTTTGAAATGGGGCATTGCTTTTTTGGGAATTATAGATCATGTGCACCACAATATATATGTTGGCATGGTAATCTCATAGCTAATTACTAGTATTGACTTTTGTAAACTGTGAATCGACCAGCTGGTAAATTTTAGATAGACAAAGCGCCAGAAATGGAGAACATCAGAAAATCCTAATTTGCTGTATCCTTGGGTGGTAAAAAAACAGTGTACACTATCTGAACCCATAATTTTGTTCTGTCATTTAATTTCCTTCATATTTGTCAATGAAATGTGACCACCGGGCAATCTGCTGGGTAATTGATCATGGTTTTCCACTTAATATTTGAATAGTGGTAGTCGCTTTGAATTAAGAGTTTATATACGCCTTATGTACGTTTACAAATTGAATTAGAAGATAAGAATATTGATGTGTCATCCAGCTTAGCCATTCAATAGCATCAAATCAAATCAAATATCTAACTATTTAAGCAAACCTTTTGATACATATGTACAATTACTGATATTTTCAAAAGCGTACGCGTTTCAGTACACGTTACAATAAAATTGCCGATTTCTAAATCTCAAAAATCACTTCTTCTTTTTGCTCTTCAACTAAATGTTGACTCGGGTTTACACCTCTTTTCGATCACCCGATTAATCTTGGATACATCATTATCAAATGGCAACAAAATCAAATTACAATAGGGACAGAAATTGTGAACAATCACGACATGTTTTTAGGCAAACAATGTACAATTGACATAGGAAAGAACGAATGTTAGACAAATTACCAGGTATCTTTGTCTCGTCACATACTTAAACAGGTTTGTCCTGACTGTAGTGCTATGTCAATGTAAACAAGCTAAGGAATTCTAAAGCTGTTTCTCCAGTATCTTTCACTACTTTTTCGAAACCCGTGCATAGTCATGATAACATACCCAAGGACAAAAAGAAAATTATACATAATACGTTATCTATTGAATGTTAGGCTTAAAATGTGTAATACTATATCGTGTCTTCCCAGTTGTGTTCCAGTAGACATCAAATTGCTGACAATTACCTGTTGGGACACAGTCTGTAGTCATTGAAACTCAAACTTAAATTCTATTTTTGTTACGATTGCCTTGGTAATTTTCACACACAGACGTACAGAATAAAATAATGCTTCTAGTCACACATTGCAGTGCGTGACACGACATAGCTGCAGGTGACAATTCGTTTCAAGTTAAATTGCACCACTAGATTCCATGAAGAGAAAAAAATAAGACCGACGATGAAGACATGGGAAATGTTTGAAACAGAATCTTCCTCTTCATTTGATAAACATAGTAATCTCATACTTGATTTAGGACGCAAACTCTATCCAGATAATGCAATGCAAGAAAGTAAAGTAGGGTCTCTGAAACTCATATTATTGCATATTTTGTTCTTGATTATAAAAAATCACGTGGACGATGAGCAGTACGTTGATTATTATATCCTATAATAATGTAATGATGCCAATACATTAACTGAATCTCTAGAAATATTTATCTGTGTATTTTTCCACACAAAGGAAAAACTGTGCTTCACCCAGCATAATTGAAGTCATAATCACTTGATAGTCTACAAATTAAAGTTACTCTATTTGCAAGGTAGTTAATCCATATCAACACAGAGTATAGTTGAAGAGGACCACAATTTTTGGTTACGTCTCGGCTGGAGACGAGTTCGTGCCCAGCATTCCCAACAAACCTACATAAGTGTATTATCTGAATTAACTGTATTTGCCGTTCCAGTGAAGTAATCTGACAAAGTGAGGTGATACGCGGTCAGGACTCCATTTCAAGGTCAACATCATTATGCTTTCCCACGTCAAAAACAGATGCCTCTTTCCTTAGACAGATTGACAATAAACATTATAGACATTACATAAAATGCCCGCAGTGTCTGCTGTTATACTAAGGCAATGTAATACTTATCTCACCTTACCTGTATCACAGAAAAATGCAATTACTTTGTATATCGATGGCGGGGTCGCAAGACTTTTCTCCGTGAGTGTTAAATCGACGATTTACCCAGAAAACGATAAATTTTTAAAAAAAGATAAGTATAATTATTAACTTGGATAAGTTTCCCAGTGACGTAGGTTCGCGGATAGTTTGTCGTTTCTTTCCTTTTATACCAAGAATATAAAAACTTTCCAGATCAAATATCACAACCTTATAAATACTGGTCCCATTAGCGATTTCCTTAACAATGGTAATCAAAATAACTCGGCTCATGCCTACAAATGCGTAGGGCAACAAATTAAAGAGAAACATTCTAAAAGTGAGGTAACAATCATCGACTGTCCTTTGATTGAAGGACGTGACCAACATATTTAACGTACCTACATAATGTTGGAGGCATACAGTGATTGACAATTCTGATACTTAAGGTACATTATGCAATGTGATTCCATTGTCAATCGTAATATATAAATACGGTAGTTCTTGTCTCACCTCATTCGTGCAGTATCACACAGGGGGTTACAGATACAGCAATGGCGGGGGTTGCGAGAATTCTCTCCAAGTGTTTTCCAAATGGAATAATATATCGAAGTTTTACCCAGAAAGCGGTTAATTTGAAAAGGGCTAGTACAGCAGAGAGCATGTTCACATCAAGTAGAACTATAAGACAATCAACTACTATCACAGTTATGAAAGGATGTGCTTTCTTTAATTATTGTGCTTCTGCTGACGATTCAGGATAATTAATTAATTATAAATCGTAGTGAGATCATGTTTATATAATCCATGTTTTTCAGACTCCGCAGGACTATCCGGCTTTAACTGGATCAGAACATTGGCGACGCAAAATCCGTACTTTGTTCAGAGCAAGAGATATAGACGGTGATGGATATATCACCAAAAAAGATTATGAAATGCATGTTCATCGTGTCTCAAGTTATATGAACCTTAATGGTAAGAACACTTTGAATTAACATGTTTTTTTTGTAATAATTATTTAAAATATTTTGATGATGAAAGAGTCGGCATACCGTTCAATGCCTGATGTGATCGTAAGATAGTTATGGCTGTTGAATTGATTTAAATTGAGGTATATCATGGAAAGAATTAAGACAGCTGATATGTCAGAAAGTGCCGGCCTGTGAGCACCTCTAATCAATGAATGTTAAAAGGTATATAAAAAAATACCAGAAAAAGGAGGGGTTTCATATGACGTCAAGATAAGCATTTTCGGTTCTTACTGTTTCAGAGAACCAAGCGAAAGATTTAAAGAAATGGAAAATGTTCACTTGGGAATTACTTTCTGGAACCACAGAAGCTTCGGCTGACTTTCGGTTGTCTGAACACGACTACGTGTCCAACATGCTTGCTGCCTACCCTACCATATTAGAGCGCATCGTGGATATCGCCAGTTGTGACTTCGACACCGTGGATATTGGCGGTGACGGCTTCATCTCCCCACAGGAACACAAGGCGTATTTCTACGGGTTTGGGGTCCCACTTAAGCACTCCACGGATGTCTTCAAAGTTCTGGACACCGATGACGATGGCAAGATTAGCAGAGAAGACTTTGTTCAAGGTTTTGTGGATTTCATTTTAAGTGAAGATGAAAACAGTCCACATGCTTGTTTCTTTGGACCGCTTGTATAATAGAAAAAAAAGAAGCAAATACCAGTTTGTTCAAGACTGTTTTGGCTTCCTTATGAGCTATTACATTTGTTTCTTTGGGCCATTTGCATAACAATTTAATCTGATAATCTTATATTGGTAACGCGGATATATTTTACTTACAATATGAGTTCTAATAATCTGATGATGTCACACGCAGGCCCGTGGCCAGGAATTTCAAAAGGGGGTCTTTTTTCTGGAAAAGTACCGAGTAGACCTTTGACTATGGAACCTTCCGGTACGCAGATAAAATTTAACCAGAAGGGGGCCTTTTCCTGACAAAAAAGGTGGTTTGTTCGAACCCCACGAGACCCCCCCCCCCGGCTACTGGCCTGAACACATTTGTCTGATACAGTGCCGCCGGAATCTCCCCTTACTTACCCTCCGGGTCGCTGCGGGTTGTACGGACGGCCTGGCTCGGTAACTATGGAAATAACCTTGTCATCCATACGCTGTTTGGTTTCTGTTAACAATAGTTCCATACCCTACCCGTCGGGCAATTATCGTGACAAACTTTCTGCTAACAAAAGAGCCTAACCCTAGCTCGCTGAGATAAAGATCGAAGGTGAGCGTGGTCGCAATTAAGTGTTCGTCCAAGCGTTAATTGACCTTTAATGCGCGGTGGCTTCACTCTACTTTGATCACTCTACTCTGATACGGAGATTTTAAGTATAAGAACTTGCCAACAGTGATTTTTAAAAGTCGCTTTACCAAAAAGATTCGGTGATGACAGCAATTTTCGTGTACATTGTAGCTATGAATTGATTGAATTTACATAGAGTTTAATAAATGAATTTATGAATTTATTAAAGATCAAATAAAACACTACTTGTAAATGTAATATTTATTAGGCTTCAAACTGTCTTTCCTATATATATATTATTAACAAGATTGAATTTTATTTTTATAGTATGTCCTTATATTTCTATTAGTTTTGTTCATAGACGAAATGCATTTTTTCCAAAAAGACTTGTCAGTTGTTTCAGTGATAAACATTTTGTTAGCCATATCTTTAATATAGTTCAGTCTATATTTGCATATAGGATCTCTCCCATCTACACCCGTAACATTTCTGTCCTTTCGTATTCGTTCATCAATCGTAAACAACCTTCCCACCNCATTCCGGCGGCACTGTATTATTTTATAATCACTTTGCTTGGAATTTATGAAATTGTATAAGATAATATAATCTGCCTACAACTAAATTGTTCATCTGTTAGCATATTGAATGTAGTAATATGGAATGTTATCAGGAATAGGAAAAATTATATCACTTTCTGTAACTTAGGACAGGTAATGGTACATGTATGTACAGAATATGAAAACTTACGAGTGAGGCTGCTTTCGCTTGACGCTCAAACCCTTTACTAGGCACTTCTCAGAGTTATGAAGGCTGGTTGCTTTTTACACCACCAAAAACTTTCATAGTAGCTTTAACGTACTTATTCTATCTTCTCAAAAGTAATTAAACGGTAGTAACCGTCACTTCAATGTGCATGCATTTAGACAAAGGTTTGTAAAGAGTTTTTACCCATTTTCTCTCTCTCATTTCAGAAAAAAAAAATTAAAGCAACTGTACATAAGAAACTATTTAGTTATCATGCTGTACCCGAATAGCAATTCAATTTCTTTTATGTGTAAATTTTAATTTGTATATCACTGGTTGAATAAACTCTAATATTACCTTAAAGCAGCCTATTAGTCACATCCAGTGCGTAAATACACATTTACTCCCATACAGCATCGCATTTTCTTTTCTATACGCGACAAGAAGCCAAAACTACATCAGTAATTATATATTGTTTTTATTGGATTCTAAATAAAGGTCTAATTTTACAGGTGTACGGTGTCCCGGACAACAAATTGTAAGCGCGTACGTGTAATCAAAATCTTTGTGATAGAGAAAGGCAATTTCCAGATTTATTCCTTACAACGTCCAAACATACTAAAGTACACTTAACCACTTCGTTATTATCAAGCGTTATCAAACGTCACTGATTACCCGCCTAGCTCAAAGTATATGCTTATTTTCTGTAAAGAAAATACAGTTTTGGTGAACACGGATACTTTATCGTTCTTTATTATAATATCAAGAATATATAATTACGTACCAGGTCAAACATCAAATGCTTATAAACAATGGTACCGATTGGCGAGCAACATGACACTCGTAATCTAAGATGACACCAGTGTTTAATGCTGGTAAACACAATTCTTGCTCGGAGTCAGTTCATGCATACTTATACATAGAACAACAGGTGTCGTGAGATTAAATACAGAGAAACATTCTAAAAGTGATGTAATAAGCTTCGAATGTCTTTTGATTGAAGGACGTGACCAACATATTTAACGTACCTACATAATGTTGGAGGCATACAGTGATTGACAATTCTGATACTTAAGGTACATTATGCAATGTGATCCAATTATCAATCGTAATATATAAATAAGGTAGTTCTTGTCTCACCTCATTCGTGTAGTCTCACACAGAGGATTACAGATATATACAGCAATGGCGGGGGTTGCCAGAATTCTCTCCAAGTGTTTTCCAAATGGAATAATATATCGAAGTTTTACCCAGAAAGCGGTTAATTTGAAAAGGGTAAGTACAGCAGAGAGCATGTTCACACAAAGTAGAACTATAAGACTATCAGAGTTATAAAAGGATGTGGGCTATTGTGAAAGTTGACCCAACAGTGACAGAATCAATTTGCTGGTAATTGAATGGAACGCCTAAAACCCCATTACATCTAACATCTTGCCTCCACCGAGTAACGTATTACATAATAAATTAGGCCTCTTTTAAAGATTACCGAGCTCTACATCACGAAAGTACATGTAAAGTTGTTTTTTTATGTTACTATTCGTTACACTCCAAGGATCCTCTTAAACAGGCAACCCTGTTATTTGGCTGAGACATTGCCACCGTAAAGGCCAAAAACAACGATTGAAATTGCTGAAGTACAAACAATAATTCCTAAAAATGCATAATTGTAAGAGCTATAGGATATCACAGTGACAGGAAAAAACAACGATAAACTCTGCTAGCTAGATGTATACAAAAACCGAATACATTTGTCTTCCAAAAATCGCTAAAACAGTAAAGACTTTTGGTATTTCTTCGGTGCTTTCTTTAATTCTTGTGCTTCTGCTGGCGATTCAGGACTTAAATGTATATCTGAATTGGGTTCATGGTTATATAATCCATGTTTTCAGACTCCGCAGGACTATCCGGCTTTAAATGGATCAGAACACTGGCGACGCAAAATCCGTACTTTGTTCAGAGCAAGAGATATAGACGGTGATGGATATCTCACCAAAAAAGATTATGAAATGAATGTTCATCGTGTCTCAAGTTATATGAACCTTAATGGTAAGAACACTTAGAATTAACATGTATTTTGTATAAATTATTAAAAATATTTTGATGATGAAAGAGTCTACATGCTGTGCAATTCCCGATGTGAACGTAAGATAGTTATGGTTGTTGAATTGTTTTAATTTGAGGTATATCATGGAAAGAATTAAGACAGCTGATAGATTAGAAAGGGGCTGCCTTTGAGCACCTATAATCAATGAATGTTAAAAGGTATAAAATGATACTAAAAAAGGGTTTTCAAAAGATTTTACCGATAACTGTTTTGTATTCTTGCTGTTTCAGAAAACCAGGCAAAAGATTTAATGAAATGGAAACTGTTCGTTTGGGAAAAACTTTCTGGAAGCACAGACGCTTCGGCTGACTTCCGGTTGCCTGAAGACGACTACGTGTCCAACATGCTTGCTGCCTACCCTATCATAGTAGAGAAGATCGTGGATATCGCCAGTTGTGACTTCGACACCGTGGATATTGACGGCGACGGCTTCATCTCCCCACAGGAACACAAGGCGTGTTTCTACGGGTTTGGGATCCCACTCAAGCACTCCACTGATGTCTTCAAAGTTCTGGACACCGACGGCGATGGTAAGATTAGCAGACAGGAGTTCGTCCAAGGTTTTGTGGACTACATTTTAAGTGAAGATGAAAACAGTCCACATGCTTGTTTCTTCGGGCCACTTGTATAATAGAAGAAAAAGAAGCAAAGACCAGTTTGTTAAAGGCTGTGTTGGTTTCCTGATAACCATTACGTTTGTTTCTTTGGGCGATTTACTTAACACTTTAATCTGATAATCTAATATTGGTAACGCGGATATATATGTGATAAGATTTTGTTTCCTTTACTGACAATACGAGTTCTGATAATCTTATGATGTAAAACGAAGGGCCGTAGCCAGCAATTTCAAAAGGGGGGTCTTTTTTTTCTGGAAAAGTGGACTTTTTACTTGAAACCTTCCTGTACTTAGATGCAATTATACCCAGAGGGGACCTTTTCCTGACAAAAAGGGTGGTTTGTTCCAACCCCACGAGACCCTCCCCCCCCCCCCGGCTACTGGCCTGAGCACATATGTTTGTCTGATATTATTTTATAATTACTTTGCATCGAATTTATGAAATTGTATAAGATAATATAATCTGCCTACAACTAAACTGTCCACCTGCTGGCATATCGAATATAGAAATATGGAATATACTATCAGAGAAATAAGGAAATTTAACACTTACTATAGCCTTGGGCAGGTCACAATATGCACAGAATATGAAAATTTACGAGTGAAGCTGCTTTAGCTTGACGCTCAAACCCTTAACTGGGCACTTCTCAGAGTTATGAAGGGATGGTTGCTTTTTACACCAAAAAACTTTCATAGTAACTTAAACAGTTATTATATCTTCTCAAAATTGATAACATGGTAGTAACCAAATCTTCATTGTGCATGCATTTAGATAAAAGTCCTTAAAAAGAGTTTTAACCCTTCTGCTGTCTCTCATTTTAACAAAAATGTTTGCCACTTTATTTTAGAAATTATATTGTAACCTTATATTTTATTCACTTAACCCGAATAGCAATTCAATTTCCTTAAAATGTGAATTTTAGTCTTTATATCAATGGCTGAATAAACTCTTATCTTATCTTAAAGCAGTCTGTTTGTCACATTCATTATGTGCTTTAATACGTGCATTTACTTCCATACAGAATCGCATTTCCTTTACTACATGCACCAAGAAGCCAAAACAACATCAAAACTGCCAGATCGTTCGATTAGATTCTAAACAAAAGTTCAATTTTACAGGGGCATGGTGTCCTTGACAACAAACTGTAAGCACGTGCAATCAAAATCATTGTGATAGAGAAACGCACATTCCAGATTTATTTCTTACAAGTTCCGAACATACTAAACTGCCACTCTGTCATTATCAGAAGTTTATCAAACGTCGCTGATTGCCCGCCTGGCTAAAATATACAGTATACTTATTTCATGTAAAAAATACGCATCAGGTGAACATGATTACCTTGGCGTTTCTGTCCTATAATAGCAAGTACATGATGAATTAAAGTTTAAACATCAAATGCTTATAAATAATGGGACCGATTACACTGGTAATGTAAAATAACGCCAGTGTTTAATACTGGTAAACGCAATTCTTGATTGGCGTCAGTTCATGCAAACTAATACATAGGACAATAGGTATTGTAAGATTAAAAAGAAACATTCTAGCAGTGAAATAACAAGCTTCGACTGTCTTTTGATCGAAGAACGTGACCAACATATCAAACATATACCCGCACACTTTTGGAGCTATGCACTGATTGACAATAATGCTACTTATGTTACTAGTGCGCAAAACGATTCCATTGTTAGTTGTTATGTTTAAAGTATTTCTGGTCTCACCTCATTCGTGCAGTCTCACACAAAGGTCTACAGATAATTAATGGCGGGGTTTGCAAGGATTCTAACCAAGTATTTTCCAAAAGGAATGTGGTATCGAAATTTTACTCAGAAAACGGTTAATTTGAAGAGGGTAAGTGTAAATGTAGATGTCTAGCATGTTTATATGAAGTAAAGTCTGTGTCAGACTGCACTAGTAACCTTTTTGCAACCTGTTAGCAACCTCAGCCGCAAGGAGGTTGCCACCCCACTGTAGGTTTAAAAGTGGCCATGGTCGCATAAGGTTGCCAAAAGGTCGCCAGCGGTCGTTGATACATGAAGGCCATTTTTGTGCACCGATAACCAGTGCAACTGAAGATAAATATCGGTATCTCAAAAAAAGGAAGAGCACATAATATAGCGACGTAACAACATATTACTCCCTCTAGTGCCACAAACTGTGCAATCTAGGACATAGCATGAGGGGAAAAATCAAATACAAAGGGATTTGTCCACGGTAATTTGTTCCTTTGATTTGTTCTAACCAAGAATGGAAAGACGTTGTTAAATATCGAATGTCATTCCGTGGTGCTTTGTAACATCTATGGAAAAGTATGCTTATGGTAACGGAGATGAATGAAATTAAACTCAATTTATAAAATAATAAAACTGGCTATTTTCATACTTCAATCGCATGCACCCAAGCGTTCACCCTATGCTTATACTATACCAAATACCATCACATACGACAATCAGTGGACTTTGTAACAAACATTGATATTGCAGAAAGAAAACACTTAGAGACAAGAAAAAATGGTAACCGAACGACTTCACATAGAGATAACATACAATCCGTTTACTATAGAACCCATGGGACTACCCGGCTATAAAAGGAACGGAGCATTGGAGACGGAAAATCCGCACTGTGTTCAGAGCAAGAGATACAGACGGTGATGGATATGTCACTAAAAAAGATTATGAACTGAGTGTTCATCGTGTCTCCAGTTACATGAACCTTAACGGTGACTTGATGTCTTAGCTTAAGTTATTAACATCTGGGATATGTCACAAAAACAAGGAAAGTTTTTCCTCCACAGTCATTTCCTGTGAGTAACTTTAATTGATAAATTTTAATTTTATATAAATTCATGGCTAAAATAAATATTTGAAGAATAACGATGTTTCATATGCATGTATGTAACTAATGTATATACCAGTATGTTTTCTGCTGTTTCAGAAAACCAGGCGAGTAAATTACTGAAATGGAAAATTTTTATTTGGGAAAAAATCTCTGGCGGTTCGCCTGACTTTCGGTTATCTGAAGACGAATACGTGTGCAGCGCGCTTGTTCACTACACTACAGTATCGAAGACCATTGTGGATGTTGCTTCGTGTTATTTCGACTCCATGGATCTTGACGGCGAAGGCTTTATTTCTCCACAAGAACACAAGGCTTTCTTCTATGGGTGGGGAATCCCCATAAGTCTCTCTGAGGATGTCTTCAAAGTCCTTGACACCGACGGTGATGGCAAGATAAGCCGAGAAGAGTTCGTCCAAGGTTATGTGGATTATTTTTTAAGTGAAGACGAAAACAGTCCATACACTTGTTTCTTTGGACCACTTGTATAATAAAGAAAATCAATATTTACCAATATATGTCCACATACAGCTCACTTCATGTTTCTTGGAGTAAAATAGTTTTCACCTAGACGCATGGGGATGGTATTTTATTGTAACTGTATCATTTTTGAAGTTGATATTTGGTATAATGAGAATGTGGCTAATCATATTGTTATTGTTATTATAACAAAATGTTGACGGCGACGGGCCTAACCAAATGGGAGCACTTGGGAGCACATGGCGTTTTCTAGGGGTATGGAATCCCCTTGAAATACTCGCCGGGTGTCTTTAAAGTTCTGAACACCGACGGCGATGGCAAGATAAGCAGAGAGGAGTTCACCCAAGGCTACGTGGATTTCATTTGAATTTTCTTGGGGCTCCTTTAATAATATGGACACTAATAACCCAATAATACACCATGGATACTTTGGAGCTCGTCTAATTTTCTTTGTTTGGGGACTGTGACAATGTAAATAAAGGAATGGCATTTACCTATAACAATGTACCTACATTTGTTTATTAGTTTATTGATATATCTTAATGATATTTAATATGAATGGAACCACAAATAGGGGATGTCTACATGTACGGCTTCTTTGGGATGGGGAAGAAAAAGAAATGCTCCTGCACATTACGTGCAGCACATACATAATATTTATTCCAAACAATGGTTTCATTTGTTTTTATAACTGATAGAAATATAATATATACAAATGATATTTTAACGTATGTTTTAAATTAATTTTCATTTTTCATAATTTTATTTTTAGTCTCTCATAGATCTATCCATAACTGCGTTAACATCCCCAAGGACAAAAAGAAAATTATACATAATAAGTTATATTTTGAATATTAGGCTTAACATGTGTAATACTATATCGTTTCTTCTCATTGGGGCACCAGTTTTGTTCCAGTAGACATCAATTTGCTGACATTTACCTGTTGGGACACAGTGTGTAGCTATTGGTACTCAAACTTCAATTCTATTTTTGTTACGATTGCCTTGGTACCTTTCACACACAGTCATACAGGATAAAGGGATGTTTCTGGTCAGACATTGCAGTTCTTGACACGACATATAGCTGCAGGTGACGATTCGTTTTATTTCAAGTTATATCGCACCACTAGATTTCATGAAGAGAAATATACATTTATCTTACATATACTCTTACATTAGGACCGACGATAAAGACATAGGAGATATTTGAAACAGGATCGCCCTCCTCATTCAGTAAACATAGTGTTCTGATACTTTATTAAGGACGTATACTCTATCCAGATAACACAGAGCAAGAAAGTAAAGTAGGGTTTCTGAAACTCATATTATTGCATATTTTGTTCTTGATTATAAAAAATTTACGTGGACGATGAGCAGTATGTTGGTTATTATACCCTGTAGTTATGTTCCCAAAAATGATGCCAAAACATTAACTGCATCTCTAGAAATATTTCTCTACACAAAGGAAAGACTGTGCTGCACCCAGCATAATTGAAGTCATAATCACTTCATAGGCCACAAATTAAAGTTACTCTAGTTGCAAGGTAGTTAATCCATATCAACACAGAGTATAGTTGAAGAGGACCGCAATTTTTGGTTACGTCTCGGCTGGAGACGAGTACGTGCCCAGCATTCCCAACAAACCTACATAAGTGTATTATCTGAATTAACTGTAAGTAATCTGACATAAAGTGAGGTGATACGCGGTCAGGACTCCATTTCAAGGTCAACATCATTATGCTTTCACACGTCAAAAATAGATACCTCTTACCTTAGACAGATTGACAATAAACATTATAGACATTACATAAAATACCCGCAGTGTTTGCTGTTATATTAAGGCAATGTAATACTTATCTCACCTTACCTGTATCACAGAAAAATGCAATTACTTTGTACATCAATGGCGGGGTCGCAAGACTTTTCTCCTCGAGTGTTGAATCGACGATTTACCCAGAAAGCGATAAAATTAAAAAAAAAAAAGATAAGAATAATTATTAACTTGGATAAGTTTCCCAGTGACGTAAGTTCGCGGATAGTTTGTCGTTTCTTTCCTTTAATACCAAGAATATAAAAACTTCGCAGACCAAACATCACAGCCTTATAAATACAGGTCCCAATCGCGGTTTTCATAACAATGGTAATCAAAATAACTCGGTTCATGCCTTCAAATGCGTAGGGCAACAAATTAAAGAGAAACATTCTAAAAGTGAAGAAACAAGCCTCGACTGTCCTTTGATTGGAGGACGTGACCAACATATTTAACGTACCTACATATTGCTGGCGGCATAAAGTGAATGACAATTCTGATACTTAAGATACATTATGAAATATGAGTCGATTGTCAACCGTAATTTATGAGTAAGGTAGTTCTTGTCTCACCTCATTCGTGCAGTATCACACAGGGGATTACAGATACAGCAATGGCGGGGGTTGCGAGAATTCTCTCCAAGTATTTTCCAAAAGGAATGAGATATCGAAGTTTTACCCAGAAAGCGGTTAATTTGAAAAAGGTAAGTACAGCAGAGAGCGTGTTCACACAAAGTAGAACTATAAGACAATCAACTACTATCACAGTTATGAAAGGATGTGCTTTCTTTAATTCTTGTGCTTCTGCTGACGATTCAGGATAATTAATTAATTATAAATCGTAATGAGATCATGTTTATATAATCCGTGTTTTTCAGACTCCGCAGGACTATCCGGCTTTAACTGGATCAGAACATTGGCGACGCAAAATCCGTACTTTGTTCAGAGCAAGAGATATAGACGGCGATGGATATCTCACCAAAAAAGATTATGAAATGAATGTTCATCGTGTCTCCAGTTATATGAACCTTAATGGTAAGAACACTTTGAATTAATATGTTATTTGTGAGAATGATTGAATATAATTTTAATGCTGAAAGATGCACGCTGTGCAATGCCTAATGTGAACATAAGATAGTTATGGTTGTTGGATTGTTTTAATTTGAGGTATATATATATATATCATGGAAAGAATTAAGACAGTTGATATGTTTGAAATGGGCTGCCTTTGAGCACCTATAATCATTGAATGTTCAAAGGTATATATAACATGATACTGGAAAAAATAAGGGGTTTCAAAGGGTGTCACCGATAACCGTATTGTGTTCTTGCTGTTTCAGAAAACCAGGCAAAAGATTTAATGAAATGGAAAATGTTCGTGTGGGAAACACTTTCTAGAAGCACAGAAGCTTCAGCTGACTTCCACTTGCCTGAAGACGACTTCGTGTCCAACATGCTTGCTGCCTACCCTATCATAGTAGAGACGATCGTGGATGTCGCCAGTTGTGACTTCGACACCGTAGATGTTGATGGCGACGGCTTCATCTCCCCACAGGAACACAAGGCGTGTTTCTACGGGTTTGGGATCCCTCTCAAGCACTCCACGGATGTATTCAAAGTTCTGGACACCGACAGCGATGGTAAGATAAGCAGAGAAGATTTTGTTCAAGGTTTTGTGGACTTCTTTTTAAGTGAAGATGAAAACAGTCCACATGCTTGTTTCTTCGGGCCACTTATATGATAGAAGGAAAAGAAGCAGGGAAGCCATTACCTTTGTTTCTTTGGAACATTTGCTCAACAGTTTAATTTGATAATCTTATATTGGTAACGCGTATACATTTGTGATAATATTTTGTTTCATTTAATTACAGTATGGGTTCTGATAATCTTTTAAATGTAACGTGCAGGCTCTTAGCCATCAATTTCAACAAAATAAATAAATAAATAAATAAAATAAAAATAAATAAATAAATAAAATATAAAAATAAATAAATAAAATAAAAAGTTTTTTTCTGTGGGGGTCTTTTTCTGGAAAAGTGATATTATTTTCGAATTAATTTGCTTGGAAATTATAAAATTGTATAAGATAATATAATCTGCCTATTACTAAACTGTCCATCTGTTGGCATATTGAATATAGTAAAAAAGGGAAATTTAGCACTTACTGTAACCTTGGGCAGGTCACAATATACACAGAATATGGACATTTACGGGTGCAGCTGCCTTCGCTTGACGCCCAAACCTTTACTGGGCACTTCTCAGAGTTATGAGGGATGGTTACTTTTTACACCACGAAAAACTTTCATAGTAACTTTAACATAGTCATTTTATCTTCTCAAAATTCCCTTTAAATGTGAATTTACTCTGTAATTCAATGGCTGAATAAACTCTTGTCTTATCTCATCTTAAAGCAGTCGGTTTGTCACATTCATTATGTGCTTTAATATGTGTATTTACTTCCATACAGCATCGCATTTGCTTTTCTACGCGCACCAAGAAGCCAAAACAACATCAGCACTCCCAGATCGTTCTATTAGATTCTAAACAAAAGTTCAATTTTACAGGGGCACGGTGTCCTTGACAACAAACTGTAAGCACGTGCAATCAAAATCATTGCGATAAAGGAACGCACATTCCAGATTTATTTCTTACAAGTTCCGAACATACTAAACTGCCACTCTGTCATTATCAGAAGTTTATCAAACGTCGCTGATTGCCCGTCTGGCTAAAATATACAGTATACTTATTTTATGTAAAAAATACACATCAGGTGAACATGATTACCTTAGTGTTTCTTTCCTATAATAGCACGAATATGATGACTTTAAAGTTTAAACATCAAATGCTTATATAAACAAGAGGACCGATTAGCGAGTAACATAACACTGGTAAAATGACACCAGTATCGTAAGATTAAAAAGAAACATTCTAGCAGTGAAGTAACAAGCTTCGAATGTCTTTTGATTGAAGAACGTGACCAACATATCAAACGTACCCGCATATTGTAAGAGCTATGCACTGATTGACAATAATGTTACTTAAGTTACAGGTGAGCAAAATGATTCCAATGTTAGTTCTGGTCTCACCTCATTCGTGGAGTCTCACACAGAGGTCTACAGATAATTAATGGCGGGGTTTGCAAGGATTCTAACCAAGTATTTTCCAAAAGGAATGTGGTATCGAAATTTTACTCAGAAAACGGTTAATTTGAAGAGGGTAAGTGTAAATGTAGATGTCTAACATGTTTATATGAAGTAAAGTCTGTGGCAGACTGCACGAGTAACCTTTTTGCAACCTGTTAGCAACCTCAGCCGCAAGGAGGTTGCCACCCCACTGTAGGTTTAAAAGTGGTCGTTGATACATGAAGGCCATTTTTGTGCACCGATAACCAGTGCCACTGAAGATAAATATCGGTATTTCAAAAAGGGAAGAGCACATAATATAGCGACGTAACAACATATTACTCCCTCTAGTGTCACAAACTGTGCGAACTAGGATATAGCATGAGGGGAAAAATCAAATACAGAGACATTTGTCCACGGCAGTTTCTCCCTTTGATTTGTTCTAACCAAAATATATCGAAATCTAAAGACGTTGTTAAATATCGAATGTCGTTCCGTGGGGCTTTGTAATATCTATGGAAAAGTATGCTTATGGTAACGGAGATGAATGACATTTAACTCAATTTATAAAATAATAAACCTCGCTATTTTCATACCTCAATCGTTTGCACCCACGTGATAACTGTTATCTATATCTTATACACAGACATTAACCAAATACCATCAAATTCGACAGTCAGTGAACATTGTAACGCTCATTGATATTGTATAAAGAAAACACTTACAGGTAAAGACAAGTACAGTGGTAACTGTACGACTTCACGTAGAGATCATACTGTATACAATCCGTTTATTTTAGAACCCATGGGACTACCCGGCTATAAAAGGATCGGAGCATTGGAGACGGAAAATCCGCACTGTGTTCAGAGCAAGAGATACAGACGGTGATGGATATCTCACTAAAAAAGATTATGAACTGAGTGTTCATCGAGTCTCCAGTTACATGAACCTAAATGGTAACTTGATGTCTTAAGTTTTTAACATTTGACATATGTCACAAAAATAAGGAGGGGTTTTCCTCCACAGTCCTTTCCTGTGAGTAACTCTAATTAACCATTCTAACTTTATAAAGTAATGCCTAAAATAAATAACGGCGATGTTTAAAATATGTAACTAAATAGGCCGGTATGTGCTTTCTGCTGTTTCAGAGAAACAGACGAGTGAATTACTGAAGAGGAAAATGTATTCTTGGGAAAAAGCCTCTGGAGGTTCAAAAAGTTCGCCTGATTTTCGGTTATCTGAAGACGAATACGTGTGCAACGTGCTTGTTCACTACCCTGTAGTATCGAGGACCATCGTTGATATCGCTTGTTGTGATTTTGACTCTATAGATATTGACGGTGACGGATTTATTTCGCCACAAGAGCACAAGGCCTTCTTTTACGGGTGGGGAATCCCTGTAAAGCACTCGGCGGATGTCTTCAAAGTTCTAGACACCGACGGCGATGGCAAGATAAGCAGAGAGGAGTTCGTGGAAGGTTTTGTAGAATATTTTTTTAGTGAAGACGAAAACAGTCCATACACTTGTTTCTTTGGACCACTTGTATCATAAAGAAAATCAATATTTTCCAATATATGTCCACATACAGCTCATTTTATGTTATTGGGTTTCCTTTAAATATACGCAATATTTAATCAAAAATACGGACATGCGTGGTCATTTTATTTTGTGATGAGAAAACATTAAGTGTAGCTGTAGTTAAGTTTATCTGTACATATCCCCTTTATAGAAAAATATTAATGTGTATGCTGCATCAAAGATATAAAACTGTAGCCAGCTTTACCTTATTCTCCAGATATTAAAGTTTTGGTAATCATAAGTACTCCTTGTAACAATCTGTAATGCAGTCGTAATTGTAGCTGCTGTTATGATAGTCTTAAATGTTGCAATCAATATTTCAATTATTTGTATTTTAGTATTGTTCATTAGTTTTTGTCTAGTATTGGTGTACATACAATAACCACCTCTCACACCCGGTATTTTGGCGCCCCTGTCTACGTGCCTGCATTGTAAATTGTCGCTCTCTTTGACAACGCTAGACGATTCAATAACAATTTTGACCTTAAAGAAAATCAGTGTAAGATTTTTTTATTTTTGACTCATAATGGAATGATGCTTTTACAGCCAATTTATAGAATCGAAACGAAACTTTATTTACAAATAATATATTAACGTACTTTATTTTGAGTCTCTCATAGTTCTATTCAAAATTGCGTTATTATTATGTTTCATTAAGTATCTATTCTTATATGTATATGGGTGAGAGTTTAATGTCGTAATACATACAACTGTGTTGAACACAGCAATCTGACAACCTCGGATAGGCGTTTGTAATCAGATCTTTCAGTGTCTAGAACATAACGGTTTACCTGTACCAGGCCAACTATGTCAAACTCATGACGCTAAGAGCGCTTCACATTTATCATAACAAAGGGCCCAATTGGCTTCAGGTTTACAGACAGACTGTATTTTTGGCTGTTGATTATGTTAGCAAGAATAAATAATGCTCTTCTATAATGTTCGGTGTACAGTTTCAGTTAGGTACACCCGACCAGAATATAAACGCAAAGACCCAACTATAAGTCAAGCGTTAATTCACAAACACTGATCAGAACCAGTCTCGTTATTTTTAACTTGCTTTGTCGGCGTCTCAAATGTCGCAAGGTGCTAAAAGTTATCGCCATAATCAAATACAGCTAGTGTAACTAAGATGGTGGCGGTAATTCAAAATTGTAAGAAAATATTTTAGCATTTATTGAATAAAGTATTCAAACATCCAACGGAGTGCATTTGTGGATCCAGATCCGTTCTTATGAAATTGGAGGGACGGTAACGTGACCATAAGCAGGGCAACCCAGAGAAACGGACCGAACGAATGCACGCACCATGCATGCTTTATAGTGTTTGTAGAGAGCATCTTGAAGTGAAAAATTACATTACAAAGACAAGGATAGGTCAGGGCAAGCTAAAGTCATTGGAAAGTTATAATTCAGTTATGAGCCATACAGGGTCTTACGGCTTGTCTTGAATAGGTACCATTTCAACAAGCGATCCAACTTGACAGTGGCGCCATCGTCGTGTCTTTTAAGATTGTTGAAATAACAATACCAAGCACTGCAAAATGACTTAACAGGTCAAATGCCGTCTGTTTATGACCCTTAGGCCGATTCACTATATAAATACACGTATAAATAAACTCGGGAACTTTGCATGTTCATGCAATACATTTTACCTCTACCAACACAATATATGACACTACAGGTACAGGGGTTGCAATAAGGTATCCAATTGATATGTCCAATATATCCAATTTTAATTAAAATACGTCTCTGATCAATGTATATTTGTTGCGATACCACGTGTATTATGGTTTGAACCTTCTTCATCTCAAAACGCCGTCATAATAAACGCTAGGCAAACTGTTTTAGAACTTACATGCCAGCAATAATGTTAAACAATCTTTCACCAGCTGTGTCCAAGACACAGAGGAATTTTTATTACTAATGCTTTTACGTGAGGCCATATTTTACTTATACCAACGAGTGCAATTTCCGTAGACTTGCAGACAAACGTGGAACGACGTATAAACCACCCAGCGTGTCTCCAGACAGACTGGTTACGATACCTTGCTGTATGAGTGAAATTCATGATGGGAACCCCACACGAACAAAAAACAACATTTAAACAATTCCGGAATCGCGGGCAGTTAAGCTGATCACCAAATATCAGTCCTAGTATTTCTGGCCGAAATAATTTATGACATCCCTTCATATTTAAATTATTCATTTTGCTGACTGCAACTTCGCCACCCTCACTGATTATTTAAAAAAAAACTTGCATTGAGACACGTGTCACCTCCGGGTTAGGAAACAGTGTTGCAGACTTACAGAAAAAATGTCAAGCAAGCAAAAAATACAAACATTACACATATGTACACATTTTGTTACCGATAGACCATGGGCTTCTTCGGGATGTCCAAGGTTGTCTTTTCCAGCCACAAACATCTGCATGACGTCAGTTTCTTGTACGTGTCCAAATTACATAAACATGTACAAACGAGTCTAGTTTACCTAATTAGTACAATCGAGTCCAGTTTACATAACAAAGCTGTTTAGTTATACGAACATATAACTAAGGGGTTGTACTCTTTCGAATAGTAATTTTGCAAATGAATCATTCCTCAGCCAATGCATAACCAAGAGAAGAGGTAGGCAAAAAGAAATTTTATTCTCTCCAAGTCCCTAACTGTATTCCTTTGAGGAAGGTGAGGCAGCTGCTTCCCTGAAGCAACTGCACTGTTTTCAACACCTATAATATTTTACTGTAAAAATACGGTAGCACATTACTTTGCTCTCATATGGAAGCAAATACATCTTTCGCACACTCACATCTCTCTCTCTCTCTATAAACAAGGCAAAGGAAAAAATGTTAAATACTATTAGAAACATGTTAAGTCTTTTCTCTATTTTCCAGTCATGTAAGTAAAAACTTGAATACTATACGGTTTTAGCTGGGGTATATGGACATCATATATCTTGGCCCAAATGTACAGTAGGAAAAATGTTTTGTTTTGTTTTTAAAATATAATATATCCATATGGTACCCATAGCCCTATTTTCCATAAGCGCAGGCGGGGTCGGGGTGGGGGGGGGGGGGGTGGAGGGGGGAGGTTAGCTCCCTTCGTTCAACCGCTCAATCTTGAGTGCTGAAGGTAAGGGTAACCATTCCCTCCTTTTAGTGGTAACCCCCTCCCTGAATTTTGAGTGTCTACGGACTTACGTTCTTTTTATAAGCATACAAACAGAGAGAATTTTTAAAACTATGACCGAAATCAAACATTGCTTAAACCATAATAATCTGCCGAAAGCTCTACCTGCATGGTAATTAATATACACTATTCGCAAGATTTCGAAGACGTCTCTCTATCATGTGTTATCCAGTCTACTCCAAATAGGCATTGCTTTTGTTGAGATAAATTCCGGACATTATACCTCAACTGATACAATCATAACCTTCATATTGCAAGTGAATCTAATGATAAGACGCTTATTTACAAAACGTGATTACATGGATTTGCTTTGGCAAGGGAATGATATAACAAATGGCGGACTAATACTTAAAACAGCGAACTTAAAATAGCTTGGTTTGCGTTTAAAAAGAGATGCCAGAATAAGAGAACATATGTCGATTCATTAATCCACATTCTGTGTAAATCCCCATATATTGGCAAATACATGCATAAACCCCAGCAATGAAAACATACAATATCTCCTAATATTTCATGTGCGACTGTTAGGCTTGTAGCTAAAATGTATTTCATTACTGTCGGGTGGAATATGTTTTTTTTAACTCTGATACACATCTATAATTAAAGTGCCGCCCATACTTGAATGTCAGCCTGAATATCAACAAAGTAAAATTATTGCTCCACTTTTTACACATTTTAAAAAGATTTCTTACCTCTAGGAAAATCTTATTCGAGTAGTGGTTAAGACGCTTTCTCTTAACCATGAAATTCTTCAGTGCTTCCGGTTCTAAAATGTCTTCACTCCCGTCAAAGACTACAAGATTCTACCACAACGCCAATACTGCCACCTATCATAACCTGTTCTAATCATATGGGACCCCGCATGATGTGGTCAAAACATGGTGCTTCAAATTTCACCAATTTCAACATATCATTGTGAACTAATGTACCCATCAGTGGCAGTTTATAATCAATACAGGGACGCCTGTCGAATCATTTCTGCGTCCTTTACAGAATGCTAGTAAAATTGGCCGACCACCCACCCATTCGTCATCGAGAGTCCACTATATGTTACGTTGTTATTCACATGTAGATGGTACATTTTTATTAACGATCATTTTTTCGTTCGTTAGACATTGCCTCTGCCTGTCCGTCTGCCCATATGTCGGCATACATATCAGTCTGTCTTTTCGCGTCTCCTTTTGACTGTCCGACTGTCTGTCTGTCTGTCCTTTTCTTCATCTGTCCTTCCGTCAGTCTATCCGTTTGGATTAAATTCTAATGCCATAAACAGCACTGCGTGCCAACATGTCAGAGATACATTATGTGACACCGTGTTCACATGGTAAACTCAATAACAGAGTAAACCCAATTACAATACATTCGCCATGAGTCACTGACCATTGCCAGATGTTCTGGAACAGATTGGATTGCCATCGCAGGCTAAGTGCAATCATCAGAACGTGCACACGATTAATGATTCTCAATGAGATCGAATCACTCGGTACAGTGGCAGACAGCTGGAAAGCGGTGAGCAGCAAATGTGCCAACACGGGCGTTTGTAAGACCAATTACAGGAACATTGGCGAATACCGTAAGTTGGCAGAGTCTTACAAAGCCAACGTAATGGTATATTTAAAGGGGGGGGGGGTATTTATAAATCTGTAGCGATACCCCCAATATTTAAAGAGTTATACCTGGTTTGCCGCTAATTTGAGGTGCGTGTAACCGTCGAAAGAAAACAACCAGGTCCTGGATAAAACCCGATGTCTGCTGTGGAAAAATTGAAGCAGTTCTGAGCTGGACCAACTTAAACGAAATAATCGTACTGAATAATTCAAACACAACAAAGTTGTCCATGGATACATGTCCCAACTAATGGATATCTCTCGCCGAGGGAGCAACGCTGATGATTGTCTTGCTTCAAGTTCCTCTAGGGTTTCCTCCTCAATAAAACCCGATTTTATAAATGGGATTAGATGATAATCGTACCCTGATGCGTGTTCCGTTGCTAAAAGCTCTTTTATTATATTTCTATCCTTGAAAATAATGGGTGCTATTTGATATCGTCTTTTGCAATTAATTGGATTATTGCTTTTTACCTGTGTGTGTAGAAACTATTAGTTCTTACTCAGAGGGGGATATTCAGATCACAGTGCAGGAATCGATGATAAAAGAAACTGTAACGTGTACAACGTTTCCAAGAAGAAGATAATTGAAACCCACTAAAGAGTAATTTATAAATGTAATGTGGTTTTTAAATGAATAAAAAACAATTTATTCATTAAGTTACAGATGAACACAGCATAAAATGATTAAAATGTCCTCCTCGTGAAGTTCCAATGCAAGAAATCACTAATGCATATCTTCCTGTGTGCAATATAAAAGAGGCAATACCTAACAATGCTGTACAATACATAAACGCCAAGCAAAAAAAAAAAAAAAGCTTCTGGAAAACCATCTCAAAAGCCTATAAAGCACAAGATGCCGATTGATAACGCATAATGTACATTATTTTATTTAGCCTCAATAAGTAAGATATGAATTTGACATTTAACGGACAATTCTTTTGGTAGCAGGAGAATAGGAAAAGTCATCAACAGAAACCCCACGAAATGTCATCTGCGCCCTACAATAATCTTTACTGATTTCTGTTTTCTAAAGTCTTATTTAATATCGATATGAAATTGAAACCGTTATGCAATTCACCGGGCAACAGGAGTTTGCAGATGGTTTTAATCCATAGAAATACCACAGACTAGAAAGAAACAATGACTTTCATTTGATAATAAATCGTATGGGAAGACTCATAGTCTGGACCAGGATGATGTATGATATATAATTCACATTTATTTCCGTTTTTCTTAGCCTCATTGAGCAACGAACATAACAAGTGTACTTACATAAAGGTTAAAACACACTCAGACACAGACACAATATTGATTTTTGTTTTTTGTATGATTTTGAATGTACGATATGTCAATAATTCTAGAAGTGTGCTGAATGTCACATGTATATCAGATGTGTCGGTATATTAGCCTCGTTGACAACAGAACTAAATTGCACAGGAAACCTCCAATCAGATACCGTTATGGAGTCAATTTTACTAAGCACGGAGGTTGCCAGTCCATGACGTATCGGGGTCTCACGTCATCTGACCGTCCCATTACGTCAGTGGCATTATTCCCGGTGTAAGTTAGTCCGTTGTTACATGTAACTCAGCTGGTTTTGTAACACTTAGTGTTACCAACGTGTAACTAGACAGTTCTAAGTACACCTTATAATTAGCACATGCAGGCATGGCTCCCAGTGTTACAAAGTATAGGATATTTTACTCATTAAACCCAATAATTTTGGCAACACGTCTGCGAGGCTTCAAGTGAAGTACACACACACACACACACACACACNTGTAACGTGTACAACGTTTCCAAGAAGAAGATAATTGAAACCCACTAAAGAGTAATTTATAAATGTAATGTGGTTTTTAAATGAATAAAAAACAATTTATTCATTAAGTTACAGATGAACACAGCATAAAATGATTAAAATGTCCTCCTCGTGAAGTTCCAATGCAAGAAATCACTAATGCATATCTTCCTGTGTGCAATATAAAAGAGGCAATACCTAACAATGCTGTACAATACATAAACGCCAAGCAAAAAAAAAAAAAAAGCTTCTGGAAAACCATCTCAAAAGCCTATAAAGCACAAGATGCCGATTGATAACGCATAATGTACATTATTTTATTTAGCCTCAATAAGTAAGATATGAATTTGACATTTAACGGACAATTCTTATGGTAGCAGAAGAATAGGAAAAGTCATCAACAGAAACCCCACGAAATGTCATCTGCGCCCTACAATAATCTTTACTGATTTCTGTTTTCTAAAGTCTTATTTAATATCGATGTGAAATTGAAACCGTTATGCAATTCACCGGGCAACAGGAGTTTGCAGATGGTTTTAATCCATAGAAATACCACAGACTAGAAAGAAACAATGACTTTCATTTGATAATAAATCGTATGGGAAGACTCATAGTCTGGACCAGGATGATGTATGATATATAATTCACATTTATTTCCGTTTTTCTTAGCCTCATTGAGCAACGAACATAACAAGTGTACTTACATAAAGGTTAAAACACACTCAGACACAGACACAATATTGATTTTTGTTTTTTGTATGATTTTGAATATACGATATGTCAATAATTCTAGAAGTGTGCTGAATGTCACATGTATATCAGATGTGTCGCTATATTAGCCTCGTTGACAACAGAACTAAATTGCACAGGAAACCTCCAATCAGATACCGTTATGGAGTCAATTTTACTAAGCACGGAGGTTGCCAGTCCATGACGTATCGGGATCTCAGTCATCTGACCGTCCCATTACGTCTGTGGCATTATTCCCGGTGTAAGTTAGTCCCGTTGTTACATGTAACTCAGCTGGTTTTGTAACACTTAGTGTTACCAACGTGTAACTAGACAGTTCTTAGTACACCTTATAATTAGCACATGCAGGCATGGCTCCCAGTGATACAAAGTATAGGATATTTTACTCATTAAACCCAATAATTTTGGCAACACGTCTGCGAGGCTTCAAGTACACACACACACACACACACACACACACACACACACACATATATATATATATATACTCAGTTAAAAACTGAGCTTCAATGTACTGGAAAAGTGACAGCGAAAGGTGAATGGTAAGTGAATTCACAACATCCGGATAATGCAAAGAGAAGTGTTTGAATTTTTCAAAAGTTTCAGGGTGACTTCTTGGTGTAATTTATTTAATTATTGATAGATTGATTGGTTGATTGAGTTTTTCCTGTATCCTTATTTATAAGTATTGATATAACCACATTATTTAAATTACAATGACATTATCAATCAATATAAGTTTTCTTTTTGCACTCGATCTATTCTGTCACATGTTTTAAATAAAAGAGCGACCTTATCGGGATACAATATCTCGGGTAAGATCCAGAGATACGTCATTCTATGAATCATTCTTGCAATATCAGCAGTGGACTCTTTAATAGCAGATAGACTATACTACACTGTATAATAAGGCGACAACAAAAACCTTCACTCCTACTGTAATTATTCACGCTATCTCTGTATTATTTCAACATACACGATACTTCCACGCTGAGCGTGAAAAATTAATATAATCATATCCTGCCATTTCCGCCTAGTGGATATCTTTATCTGTCCATTTCGTATTCTTGAATTCATAGGCATCGTAGTATGCCAGTGACGGGAAGGAAGATGGCTCATATTACTGCATGATGTTGTACATTCTTATCGTACAGGTGTATAGGAGCTGCAAGAAGGACAGCGGAGGCTAGCCCCACAGCATTTTAATCACCAGGGCCAGACGCTATATTTTTTTCTGAATATTCAAACATACCTCCCCCCCCAAATTTAACACATATAAAAGTGTTCTTACCAACGTTATGCATTGTGACTTGACGCGGTTCAAGCACAACGTAAGAGTAGAATTTAGACGTAGATTCACTGCATGGGTTTCATATGTGTCACAGTAATACCGGAGCTCTAGAAGCATTTAACGATGACACATCGTATATGTCTCAAAGTGAAAGTGTACACCATCATGTAGAAAGCCCAATGAGAGGCATCTGATCAGTGCATAATAAGCAGCAATACATTTCCTAGAATCATAGTTATCCAGCACTTTTTTCTAAGATAAGACAAAGTAGCACAAGATAATTACTTGAAACACCATCCAAGGTCCGGATATTATCATGGATCTATTTGATACAGTGTCTGATTTCGCCAGTAGCATATCGCTGGCGTCAACGATGCCACTTCCATCGAGATAATTGGTTTTTAGACTAACACGACAGAATGAAAATACATATTACCATCTGTCATGTTTTGTCTGTTCCATGCTGTCACATGTGATCTAATTAAGCACAGCTATCGCGTCTTATTCTAAACATTCGGAAACGGTAGTCGATATGGGCTGCTACGGTCCAGTAGGACCTAATACATCAAGTTTTCATGATTTATTTGAAAGAAAATAAAAAACAATTTGATGGATTAAAGGCCCCCCATTGCATGTACTTATTAAAGGTTTTGGAAACTTTTGATACAAATTTACCAACGGTGATTAACACGTGTTGTAAAACCTAGCACATTAAGTGGTTCGATGCCGTCATCGTTGGAGCATGTCCAGCTGCTTTCTATTTGAACAACAATACAGTAATACATATACCTAAATACGTTTTAAATAGACACATGTCACAGGAGCAGCTAAAAAGACATAAAACTTGATAATATGTAGTTTACATGTTGTTTGAATCAGCAGAGGTTTCAACAAAAAAATGGACTTAGATTAAGTTCAGGAAGACAACGCTTGATTGCAATCTCCAAGCCAGGTTATTTCATCTGTATCTATCATCCAAGACTCTGACAAGACTAGACCATCTAATTCCGTGTAGATAAGCGAATTACACAATACTTATAGAACCTCATATTGTGGATTTATTGACTTTCTTAAAATCGACCGTATCAAACGGCTACATGTTATATATAAAACATTACCGATAACGATTCCGCAATTTTATCAGCTTGGCTATGCAATTATTCAGGAAAAAGCATGTTAAAATATATACATAACTCAAATAAGATAAAACAGCAGGCTACGGACATTCAACAAATTAATGTTATACATTTTCTTTGCATTGGAATTTTTTTCATTTTGGACCCCGTGTTACGTTTGCTGCCTAACATAGCAACATTGTCAATTAATAAAATATAAGTAGAAAACATCAATTGATAACAAAGGGAGAATTATATATACTGTATAAACAACATATGTATAGTAGTATAGTATCGAATATATTCAAACATACCAAACAAGCACAACAACGATAATTGTAAGGAAGCGTTTGCACGCAAATCTACATATCAATTCGCGCTTGCACAAGAACACGCACCCACACACGCGGGTAAACATAAGACACGCGTAATATCTGATCGTAGACAAGTATATGTAGGCCTTCGGTCACCCTTTGGTGAACTGCAAGTATAAATACACCCATCGACGTCACGTTTGTGTATGCAAATACGTATTGCACTAGCGTACTCCATGCACGCTCACGCATACACACATTGACACACTCACGCGGTAACATAACATCGAGTACTTACCAGAACTCTCCAGGTTAAGAATTAGTCACTACAAACGCTGACGATCAAGGCAGTGTGCACTATTGTCACCTCGTGGACCCAAACTTCCAGCTCCAAGGTCTGTTGCTGGCAATCCAGACTCTGAAACAGATACCATTAATACTACAAGGATCAATAGATAAATAATTCAGGACAGGCATTCCACAAGGTCCATTAACGATATAGCAACTCACGCTTAATCTACTATCTATTTGATGATGACTTTTCCAAAGTAACAGTATCCACCGCAGAGACATGCAATGGACGAATGGTGTATTGAACATACTGGTGGTCGTGTACCTCACATATATGTTGTACTGGTATATCATTCAGCGTCTTACCAGTATATATATCCCTTCCTTATGCTAATAGTAAACAAACGTTCATTACATAATGTAATGTACTGAATCTATAAATGTCACATAATACGTCTGCTTGACTTGATTGATGGGCTAGTGAATGGAATAAAGAAAGAAAGAAAGAAAGAAAGAAAGAAAGAAAAGTAACTACCGACCGACCGACTGATTGAATATATGAATGAATGAATGAATGGATAATTGAGCGAATACGTCGGAAGGGTAAGCGGAGAAAAACACAATAAAAAGAAAAGAAAAAAACGTATGTTCGCTTCAACAGTCAATTGGGACGAGATATCACTTCCCCGATAGGATCACCTGAAGTTTGAACAGAGCTACTCCAAGATGTGTCATTGAGTTTATAAACTGAGTACATTCATAACAAATAGTGGCATAAATTGACAATACGTTTGGAAGCCATCGTTTAGCATAGTGTGTGTTCTTGTATATGGAATTAAACTTACGGCAATAACCGTACATGTATGTGCCGCCTTTTTCAATATTGGTACTTTATATGAGTGCCTCTAGTGCTGCATGTCAGATAAACGGAGCCCTTTAGAGACAGTAGCTACCCCAATCGCAGGGTTCTCAAGGCCAAGATCGAAAAGATGTTTAAAGCATAATGGACCATAACCAAGCCATGAACGGGGCGTTTTGTGTCGGCGTCACCCACAGGAATTCAATGCAGTCAATGACCGCGAGAAACAACGTGGTTCTCGCTCAACGGGATTGTTGGTTGAATATAATTGTAGTCGTGGAGAACGAGGCCAGTACATTTTCAATTGGCTTTTACAATCGATGGCCTAGGTGAGAATATCACACACTTCGCTACAATTTTCGTATTGATCGAAGTTTTATTGTTTTTCCCCAAAGAAAATTGAATGTATTTTAAATGTACGTTTAGTTTTCAGATAACATGGCGTTGGTTAGGTTCATATTCTGAGAAAGTTTCTCAGAGAGATAGAGAGAGAGAGGGGTCACCGTTGAGTGACGTTTTTAAAAATCTCTCATAAAATATGTTAATGATCATACCTGTCTGTTGTTGCATAAAAATATTCCTTAGTCTAGTGTTGAGTCAAAGACTCATATGTCGTGGGTGGTAAGTATGGGATGTTTGTCTTTTTCGATATAGCAGACGTGCAAAAAGGCCATTTATCATTACGTTGTCTTATTTATTTTCAGAATGTGGACAATCGATTGATTTTCACATCGGTTGATCTGCATGGAATTTGGGCGCGCTTGAGTCTTGATATTTGTATCTATTCATTTGTTTGTTTTTATTTGCATGTTTATTTTTTTGCTTGTTTATTCCTTTTTTATTTATTTGCTTATATACTTACTTTCATTTTAGTTTTTGGGGGATGCACACACATACAACCAGTACTTCCGCCTTATGGAGGGTTGATCTACTGAATAAGACCGTTTGTTTACAGTAATTCTAACACCTGCATCCGTCAACTTGTTTGCACAATGGACAAGCGGAGCTCTTACCAGGGGCCTTCAAATGCCAACCCCAATATTGAAGGGTCCTGATGCCAACAGGAAAGGGTTTTCTGTTTTCATCTGGGCGAATTCTCAAAGCTTTAAGTCACGATGTGTTGTCAAAACAAACCTGGTTTTTGCGATCAATGTAACGTTTATCATCCAGTTTCTGTTGTGTTCAGAATTCCATAATGGTTTTTACGTAAGGTTAAATAATGCATGGGTTTTCGAGGCAATGAAGTATATATTTTATATACATTGCGCTGAAAGCAAGAGTTGCAGAAATAAATTGATTTTCCCTTCGTCTATTGTTTTAACACAGTTGTATGCTGTATCTAGAAAAATATATACATAGAAAAACACATACAGGAGCGAAATTGATTTTTTACACCCCGAGGAAAAAGAAATATGAATATATCACTGGTAATGCGATTATAAGTGGAACATCTGCGTGGAAAGTCTCTGGGGATATCTCGATAATTGCATGTTTCTAACACACGGAGAAGAGGTTCTTGGATCAGAGAGAGAGAGAGAGAGAGAGAGAGAGAGCAAAAAGAGTCTACCGAACAAAACTGAAACTAGTAGAACAATTAATTGTTCCTGTACTTACAAATTCTTAACGCACAGGTTTAGCGTCCACACACCTTTAAGTTCACGACCAAAGTTCCTTTCTCTGTATTCGAGTACTGTTAATTTCAAAACTATGTATATAGAAGGATTGCCATTGCTCTAATCTACATTATGCCTTGTGGCTTACCACTGCCCCAGACGACGACCGCCTTAATCCGATCATCCTAATGGTCAACCCTGCGGCTTAACACAGATAAGATGGACAGTTCCTTGGACAAAATCGATCAAAACCTTTTCCATCAGTCTCGAATATCTTGGAATGTCGACACAGTGCCATTAAGTAATAGCGAAAATCGGTTTCTAACTATTGTGCAACAATGGAAAGAAAGAAACAGGCTGCAAACAAATACTTACGATGGATGTTATCGATTTCACGTGCAACAGGCGCGCAGCCATTCGTCCGTGCGAATGAATTCATGAATTTCACATGGGCAGCTGTCTAAGACGTTATTCCAATTTATAATTTTCCAATCATTATTACTATTATTGTTATTATTATTATTTCTGCTGTTGTTGCTGTTATTATTGCCGTTTTGTTAATTGCCTTTTTCATGATTCCACTGCTTTCGAAATCACCTCTATATAGTTATTGCTCCATTTTGTCTGTCTGTTTGAATCATGCCACATAGTCTTGTATCGCTGCCATCCACTATTTTCTGAACACAAGCAATAGCAACTATTATGCCGAAGATGAATAACATCCACAATTAAACGCGTTAGCTTTAGTATCAGCAAGCCAATCATTCAATATTCTGTGGACACATTTCAGCCAGCAGCCCAGCATAAAGCCAATCACTTATGATATGGTAGTGGTCGGTCAGAACTGGACATATGGCGTGATTTGTGACCTTTGCAGCACCTATCAAATTAAAACCAAAAAACCGTACTGTGCACACAACAGAAACAAATATATTAACCGTCTCAACTGTCAAAGGAAGCGCCATTGAAACGCCCCCTAAGTATCAATGGGTAAATGTACCGGTTAATTAGTACGTGCAGAGGAAAACTGGTCAGTGTTCCGCCAAGATAACGGCATAGAAAGTACATCACTTGCTTTATTGTGATATTCTTATCAGTTTAAACGTCCAAGACAGCACACAGCTCTGTTGTTAGCCAGATCCTTCCCTGTGGAACCTCAAGGTGACAGTGACTATATATCCAGTAGAACGCTTGCAAAAACTGCTGGGCATGAACTGAACTTAATGATGATAAATATAATAATAATAATTATGATAATAATAATAATAATATACATGAAGACGAACAATTTTCACTGACAGCTTTGCTCCAAAACACAGTTATGGCAACTGAGCTATCAATAGCACCTATACATTGCATGCAATACATTAATTTGCGGACCAGTGATGATTCTAGGTCCTTAGCTCCATAAGCTTCTGAGGCACTCCTACATGCACCTCCCCTCCCACATACACACACACACACTCACACACACACTCACACACACACACTCACACACACACACTCACAAACACACACACACACCACCACCACAAAACATATGTACGAGCAGCGTGAGATAAAAACATCCCAGTAACATGTACAGTATCATTTTCTCTTCCACTATTCATTTACAGATATTAATTTCATCATTTGTCCCTTCCATACCAATACTGACAATTGAAAAAAATTGTTTTTTACCAAAGTATTTACCACAGTTAAGTTGCCCACGTACTGCACCGGTACCTGACAGTCTTCTATAGCTACCTGTTACCTGCCATTAAACATTTCTACATTGAGCAATTTAATAGTATCTGGATGCACAAGATATTGATAAAAACGTATAAACTACGTGAGGGATTACTACATGCAACTGAAGGCTGCCTCAAGTGCTGGACAAATATGGTGTAGAACTTACTCTCCCAAAGTGTCAATATGACCTCGGGTATGCTTGCAACAAAGATACACTCTGTGTAAGTTACACAAAGCGGTTTGGAATACCTAGAGCTCAGCTGATATTGATGAGAAAAGTTAACAGTCATATCAGAGAGAGAGAGAGAGAGAGAGAGAGAGAGAGAGAGAGAGAGAGAGAGGCCAACACATTTCACGGCGATATAAAATTGATGAATAAAATAAACACAAACGCAATCGCACGCGCTTGTTCATGTACCAACCCTAACATGCGCACTCCCATAAAATAACAAAATTATGGTCCGCACAAGCGCGTACAGATGTACACGCGCACAAGCACACTGCAACACATGTAGGCTTACACACAAACACGCGCACACACGATTCTGAAGTACACGCACATACGTTATCTCGCAAAACCATAGCCTTGAAAGTAAGCACCCTAAATTACTTACAAGTAGTACTCACTTACATAGCTGAGATATGCCAACCACAACCTGTACAAGCTCCACATACCTTAACTCGATCAATTATATATATACGCAGCGGCAGTATGCCAACCAAAGACATGAAAGATAAACTACTGCCCGCAGGGTTGCCAACTCGGCACTTTTGAGATTATATTCTTCGTAATTATCGATTCCCGTTTGTCTCCAGGTGCTATCATCTTGTTAATAATATGATAAATAATAGATGTTACTGTGTGTGCCTCGAAAAACATAAACAACTTGACGCAGGTATTATAAGTGTAGAGCAACTGTTAAGCGTGACTTGGTGCGTCAGCGTTCGTGTGTGTGTGTGCTAGCGGGGGGCTTACAATTCAAAATTAGATAAATGAAAAATATATATTAACAATACCGACTATGGAGACTATCTTTAGACTATCTTGCTTCCTGCACTTACGACCAACGCGGTTAAAGTAAGTGTTTGTGTGTGTGTGTGTGTGTTTGTGTGTGTGTGTGCGTCTAGGGTCTAGCGTAATACACCAGCCCCTCCTCTCGGTTCCTCGCCTATATCCGGTATACAATGGACTTGGACGAACTCTTGAATGTAATTCAGAATCTAATTTTCATTTTCAGTGCCAACGACATGCTCATTAAAGCTTTTTTGATTGCAAGATTTTTAGCCAGGTAACGTTTTACTATAACACCCGTTTCGACGTGGTCAACGTGTTAAGCAATACGTACCTGTACTACTGTCTCTTTTTGCTAATTGATGAGCAGTAGACTTGCTTTTTTTTTTCAAATTCAAAAATACATATCTCCGCCAAAGTGTTAATAATAATAATAATAATAACAATAATAATAATGCACCAGATTCAGTCGGGATTTTAATCGTTGATTTCCCAGCTGAACAATTGTGACGTGTATCCTGACATTAGTGAAGAACTTTTTTTCAGATTAAAAGGCGACGCGAATGAGGACATCCTTCTACCTTGGCAGAGGAAGCTATGGTATGGGTAGGCTCCATCAGAGTACCATTCTGGCCCTGAACAAGATTAAACCAACACATTTTGCATCCGTCAAGTATACAGCAAAAGGCATCGTGCCAGTTGAAGTCAGTAAGCTTAACACGCAACACTGAATCCACTGAGTCCCTGGAAACGTGCGCCAGAGACCTGGTCTACAACAAGGATAAATACATTATTTGGACTAAGATCTTTATATGTTAGGATAGAGACGTCTAATCACGTTTCACAAAAAAAAAAAGGTCGCTCCCGTCCTTTTTATGTCATTTACAGAAAATTGTCTTAACGCTTTTTTTTACTCTGAACGGAGCCATGGGATATTTTAAATATATTAAATGCACTAACTGTCAAAGAATCATTACTGCTCTTGGAGCAGTATCGCAGGATCGACTTGACGTAGTCGGTTCTATGATTTTAGGATATACTTTTGTGAAACAGGACAGAATACGTTGGCGGGCTTCTATTATATACCATTGCTAATATTGCCAAGTCCAGCTGATGGGAAAAGTTCCATAGTTATTCTTATTATTTCGTTTAGGTTAGAAAAAAACATTTTGATAATTGGCGAGATAGCGGCTGAGGTTAGAATATATGAAATATACACCAGCATATGTCCAGGAAATATGTACTGGAAGTTAAAGTATGTATGACCTGCGTTTATATGATCTGTTTTCGTGTCCTAGGTTAATTTATTAAAGATAAATATATACGATGTTCATTGGAAATTAATACATTCATGTTTATGCATTTGCGTGTACACATATTGCAAAAGAGTGATCTCGTTGATATTAACAACAGTGAACTATCTCCATTCTAGTTCTTTTTTCCTATTTCGTAAAGCTGAAAAACTTTAGTTTTCGGTGAATTTTAAATGCATACTGCGCGTTATCACGTCAAACTGAAACTGATCAAACGTTTCTGAGAAAATGGTGTTGTAAAAACATTTACTGATTTTTTTAACGTAGCAAACCCAAACTAAAGATCATTTTACTGTACTAGTAATTACCATTAGAAGTGTGTTATGAAACCGTGCACTCTTTGCCGCTCATGGTAATAGGCTAGAAGATACCACTATTGGAGCAACTGTTGAATATGCACTCTCCATTACAGAAACATGCATCTCCAGAGACTCAAATATAGACCAACGATACATACAGCTGAGCACAGAAACCAACTAACGGTAACATGGGACGATTAACTGTGCTTTCCTAACCATTTTAGACCTCAGTTGCTCCTAATTTCTATCAATTACATAGACCTATTGGCACCGACCTTTGTAAACTACATGCATCATTATTGCTGGCTCAGCTGGGTGGCGGAGTCGTTAATCGGTATCAGATAATGACAAAGAAATGCACGCACTTACTGTATTATATACTCGCAAACGAAATCGACGGGTCACGAAATTAGAAGAACACCAGACCTTTGCTCTCCGCCGTGTGTGGAGAACTCGCCCTCATTAAATTCAACAGTGCAGCTTGCACAGCGGTCAGTCTTTCCACAGCTTGCCAGCCAGTATTTTTAAAACTCTTGACAGTATTATCATTAAAAACATGACAGTCCATGTCGGTCAGCTATATCTGACAATGTCAAACTATCTGACCGATAGTACTCCAAGAAGATAAAAAACCTAAGTACAAAAATAAAACCTTACCTCAAACTACTCCAATTATTGACTAGAACACTGACGCATTGGTCCTGCACTGAAGCCCACCAAATTAGTCGTTTTCCATATTAACTTTACACGCAGCTTCCTCATCAGTTAGAAGAGCTACGAAGCAGGCATTTCGCCAACCTTACATAAGTGAAGTTTGCAACCAAATTACTTTATGAGTAAACTTGTATACAGATATATATCGCGGGACGCTTGGGATCTGGAAAAACATTCATAATTTCATTAAATTAATTTCAAATAATTTTTTGGCTAATATTCAGTAAAGATTGTTTATTTTTCTCCTTAGTTCTCCACGCTTTTGATTGCCAATAGTAAGATAAGCGATGACACAATCAATTTTGGATACGGCATGTCAATAATGGTGTAATCTATGAAGGCGGACAATTCAGCCTTGACCTGGAAATCTGAAAAGCCGTTTAGTGTAGCTGTTCTTCACTTTTTGGCATCGGTTAAATTTCGCTATGCCAGTTGTAAGCAGGGGAACTTAAGGATCTTGCATTAATGTTATTGGTGCCTAGTTTCTTCTTACTTATAGGTAATGGTCGACACGAATGAGGTCCTAGTCGAAACCCCGACAATGTCACACAATCTGTACAAATACATCTTCAAAATTAAATATTGAAAATAATAATGCATATGTTGAACATAGCAAGTGACATCATGTTGCATTGGGAAGACCATCGATGCATATGTTATGTAAAGAAAAGCAAGTGAATAATTTGCTACAAAAAAATATGGTCATTTTCTCAATCCTCGCTTGCATTTATCCACATCCTAATTTTTCCTTCGATCAGCAGCTATTATTGACAGCTAATGTTTTATTTTGACGTTTCTCAGAGCATCTTCATCAGGGAATGAGGCTATCCAGGTGAATAGCCTCTATTCAGGAGATATATTGGAGCTAATATTAGCTGTCCATATTAGTTGTTGATCGAAGATTTTTTATTCTTATAAATAACACAGCTGATGAAATCCTTCTCTGACAGTTTTTCATTATTTAACAACTAAGATATGCCAGACAGAAACACTTGATTAATGGTAAAATATTTCATTGAGAGTACTTAGACTTGTCTAGTACCCATAATTAAATATCTAAAATGACTTAATTCGAGGTATATAAATGTATTTGTGTGTTGGCTGTGCTTAGATTGACACAAAGTATCACTGACTTATACTGGGACGTTATCTCTTACTTTAAGGCTCTGTCGTCAGATATATGAAGTTGATTGGTTTACATATGTCACATATATATTTACCCACTCCGTAATTTTCTTTACACAGCCGCTTGATCCGTATACTGAGTAAAGAAATTGACTACGTGGGACACATACACATACGGGTTTGGTTGTTTGATCTAACTGAGCTTGGCAGTCGAATAGGAATTAATTATCAGGAGATACCTGTCCGATAATGGTGACTGCATTTATAGTGTTGGTAAAAAAGTGCACAAGCAATCATAGGTATCTTCATACATTTATATAGGGACAGACACAGACATACTGAGAACGCAGAGAGACAAACACAGAGGCAGACAGAGAAAATGATAGATAATTTCATCGCACTAAACGCCCTGGATCAAAGTCAGTAGCTAAACAGGCAAAAACATTTATAGAACTCCCTTGCTTTTCCGGCCATTTCAACCTGCCATAAATCTACGATTGCTGTTTCAAAAGATTATAAATCGAACCTCGCCTACCTGTATTTCTTCTCAGCTGAGGCAGTAAGTCAATCTTGTTCACTGTACAAGCAAATGCCAACACCGCATTAAAACACAAATCTCGTGCTTCACGCAGATAAATACACTGAATTTCAGAATGCCTTCAAAATAAGCTTCGATCCAAAAGCATTGGGGGTTCTCACGATCTCCTTTGTCCCTGAAATATCCAAAGTGTGTTTAGAAAACGTATTCCATCCCTGTCGTATATCTATATGAATCAGAACAACGCACCATTACATCAATATAAACGTGTGCGTCTTCCCATGCTGATGTCTGGTATTCTTTGAAATGCCGACCATTTAAAATGTCTCTGTAAGTCGAGACAATTCCAAATGTCCCGCGGTGCTTCTGTTAAGCGATCGGTATTTTATATATCCGAGTCGGAAAGATCCCTTTTATTCACATATATCCACACTACGGTTCTGTTCTATAGAATAGGCAACAACCTGCGTCTCACTGTGCCGTTAAATTACTGTAGCAGTCTTTCCTGTATGCAATCCAATGGGCACACAAGGAGAGCGGTTTCGTGTCGCCAGTGTGCTTTCTAATTACGAGGCAATCATCATTTCAAACACGTGCCACGAACACCAGGGTCCGTGGAGACAATGTACGGGGTCGATTACTTCCAGACAGAATCGGACGACGACTAACACTGTATGATGAGTATTATAGCATTAGAATTGCCCCCGATATCCCTAGGGTATTATCTGACCATTGGTGTGACCGTGCACTCTGTGGAAACGCCTCTGAGTCAGGAGGCAGCATGGACGATCTTCTGGCTGGGTAGATACCTACATTGTATCGTGCAACGGAGATAGATCTTGTAAATACTAGCAATCAGTAGCTTCCCTGTCCCTGTTAATAACATGTACCATCGACTCATCTTATTGAAATCGCCATGTTTTTCAATTGAGAGACAACGTGCAAGTCAGTCTAAGCTGAAATTGCAAGCGAAATCGACTTACAACACAGCATATACACTGCATATGATGTGAAATATCCTGAAATACCCTTTTCTCTCTTCTGTCAGTTGAAATGATAAACCACCGACTGCATTCAAGTCATCTGGTATTTGAGATTAAAGCACGAAGCGTAGGAGGTCGACTTCTACTTCCCTGCAGCTTATAACTATACCTTGTTGAATCACTAGGAGGCTGACAGTGTATGCACAGAGAGGCTGTGTTTATGGGCTCATTTCTAATGAAACTATAGTTCTAGGTAGATCGATTCAACTCCACGGGGACTCTCGCTGATCACATTAACATTACATTAATCATTAACTAATTAACACTTCTCCGCTTCTTTCCAAAGTACTCGTATATACCTGTAACCACCAGCTTTTTCTGTATTCTGCTCAACACAAGGAGGAGGGGAGTACATGCAAATATGTTCATCTGGTTGCATTCAGCGGGAGTACCCGGGGAGTCGGATCGATCTGCGTAAACCGATTGTGTCACTGGAAATGAGCCCCCTTAGTCTCCTCAACTTCGTCAACCCCCTCAATCTTGAACAGACACCTCGCTAGAGGCAGGGAAAGGGGTTTGTCATGCCATTATTTTCAGCTGTGCATCAAAATATTTTCTAAAATGCCTAGAATTGTTCAATATACTGTACTTGCATTATATGCATAGACATAATAATAGAGGGTTAAAGGGAAGAGGCACTTACCCCCCCCCCCCCCCAAAAAAAAAAAAAAAATAAAAATTAAAAAATAAATAAATAAAAAATAACTCAACCACACAAGCCTTATGTGCAAGAAGCAAGGGGCTTTTGGGAATTCGACCGTTGCGCTATTTATACTTTTTTTTCTGATTTCCACCTACACATTTAAAATTTGCTTCTGTGCAAATGCTTCATATTCATTCCGATATTATGTAAAGGCCAACATAAGTTAATATTCAAGACACTAAGATTGAGTTTATCCTGTGTACATCAATATAGACACTTCTTTGGCGGCTAGTGTGAGTGGAGAGGTTCAGGAGTTCAGCACTTCACCAACTTCTTTTTATCTTCTTTGTAATTTCTTTTTTCATGTTGACTAATGACATCGATTTTCATGCAATATGTACATCCAGGGGTAGGGTGAATACAGAGGCTGAGTCAGGAACATCTTCTTCACACAAGTGCACTACTGGTGTCAAAGTAAAGTCAAGAGGTTCACAACCAAGTATCTCCCATGTGTGCATCTGGGATATTTTTTCCAATTAGTCGATCTTCCCCAGCCACTCGTGTTTAAGTTACAGGGGAATACTATTATATCTAAACCTCTTAAAGCACTGCGCTACAAAGATACTGTGTCGGTGGCAGGGACAAGTGAAGCCAATGGGTCATGAACAATTAAGGGCTCTGGTAACCCAGACATATTTTCGATAATTCCGAATGTTTAGAAAACCTTGACATATAAATAAACCCATTAACTACCAACTCTGCTCACCTTTTTCGAATTATAAAATGACAAAGCCACCAAAAAGAAACATTCCACTACGGCAGGGCAATGTCAACACATACAATAATCCCTGAATGTAACAGACGATCCAGGCAATTATGAGTAGTATACTCAGCAATCGGCTTTTGATTTGTGCACTACATTTAATGGTATTCTGCTCACATAATGGGTCGCCAGGTATCGATCTCGTCCTCATAGCCGGGGTGAGAGTGAAGCGGGGCGGAACCACTTGACCTTGACCTCTCTAGTTCGAGGACAGAATCAGAATCCTCGAACTACAAGGTAGATGCTTAGGTTGACGTCACAACGGTATGTTGTTCGAAGATAAAAGCAGGGAGTTTTCCTGATAAGGTTTCACAAAAGAATTTAGCATAGGAATTGGTCTAGACCTTATAACAAACCACTTGGTGTGCGTAGTTCAAAATAAAGCCATATTAATATTCCACTTCTTGAACGAAATGCATATTGGGCTAAAACATTGCTACTCAATATATTTTTTATTATAAATTACGCAAATAATAAAATTTAACCGAATTTACCGTATTTTGTCTGAAGTCAAAATATAATGTGGGTCTAAATTTAAACCAATTTTTAAGCTTGAGTTATTAAATTTATTTTGTAAAACAGGGCCCTGCTCCTTGCCTTTGAAATAAATGGTGTATCTTGTGATGACTTAACTTCTGATGTGAATAGTCAATTAAAAACCACTTACTTCAGTGAGCCAATTTACACTGCATTCAAATTAATGTCAGTCAGATCACGTAGCTAATCCAACTTTACCTTCACCACCACCAGGTTAATTCTAACACAGCTTCATTTCAGATGCATTAAATGCGTCTACGATTGACTAGAATGCTGTAACAGGAATTGATCGGTGAGAGTTGATCCTAATTAAGTGCTGCTAACCTAGCACTTATATCTATTATATATATATATATATATTAAATATACAAAGCAGAGAAATAAATCACAATTGACCATCTGATTCCAGTAGTGGTTTTAGTAAGGTAAAGTGAACATCAGATATAAGCATATTTAATCGTGCGTTTTCTTTTTACTGAATCGATGGATTTATTTATTGATTGAATCATTTATGTGCTTATTTATGTGTCTATGCAATATCTAACCATTTGGCAGAAAAACAACCGCACAATCCAAAGTATAAACAAAAACAGTCTGTACGTGTGTAGATCTACAAGACTAATTACGGCCGAGCACAGAGTGAGATCTTCAGCGCACGCCCCCGCACGGCAAAAGTGAAACCCTTCAAAACAAACTCAGAGGTTAATATGCTTTTCTGCAAGCCGTCAAAGGTCGCGGAAAAATATTTACATACGTCCGTTATTACGCAAATAGGCAGCTGGGTTATTTCTGGGGCGCCGAAATGAAAAATTGGATAAATATTTGGACATCTGATACAGTTTTTAGCTAACATAACCAGACGAAGGTTCTCAACTCACACTGAAGGGTACTTGCACAGCTGCAGATACAGATACGGATGTTAGCTCCATTTGAGATTACTGTAATTCGCTGATGGTGTGACTTGGATAATTTTAAAGGACATACACTGTATAAAGCAATCCTACTAATTAAAATATACTTGGGTACATGTTGATTGGCTGATTGGCTGATGTTGCCTCAGTGAATCAGTAAAATTTGGACCATAATCACCATAATCAATTCAGCAATATAAACGTATTACGAGTTATTCATACAATTTTAGATACGAACAAGATAAATGCCCAGTTTAAACCTTTTGGAGAATAAAATATGATTTTGATATCGATGTTACTATCATATTCACGGTTTAAGAATTGAAGAGCCAGTTTCCACTGTTTATGATTTTCAGAGCTAGTTGTACAGGCGTAAGAACATACACTGTATCACCGTTTTCATGTACCAAAACATCTCTATTGATTGGTAGGAGTAAAATAATTACTTGACAGTCAAAGCGTGCTAGCGTGCCTCCATGTCCTATTTCAGAGCACACAATACTGAATATCATGAAATAATCAGTAATACATGTTTTTTATCAAAACAATTAACAGAACATTATAAAAGGAAACAACGTTGATGATCCATTTCTTATCCCTCTAGCCACAAGACATTGGACTACTTAGTTGCGACTTCGCGTGACTTGGGCAGGCTCTCAATTTTAGAAAAAGAATTGATTTGAAATGTTTACGACTCCAAAGATGATCCATTAAACTACTCAACGTCAGTAAAAATATAATTATTATTATTTTATAAGTATATATATCCAAACAATTCTGTAATAGATATCACATGTAAAAGCAGCAAGAGGGTTGATGAAATACTAATATTACTAATATTAAGAATTAACGAAAGATACAAGTAAACCTACTAGGTAAAAAGAAATTGCGCGTGCGCACACACACATACCCGCGCGCGCGCGCGCGGTCAGGCCATGCGATAAGGGCCGTTTTAAAATTCGGTATCAGAATTACGTAATGACTCCATTTCTTCAATTATACCAAATGAAAAAAAATTTTTCACAAACGCCTCAATCCAATGCAGTAATTGGGTTGCCCGAGAGACATATTATTCTATCGATTATTTACAACACCCAAATATCCCCATCCCATACGAGGTAAAAAAAAAGATTAAACTAAATGAGATGAATTCAGATATTTGTACGAAAATAGCGGATATATATCAAAAGCAAGCATACGAGTTACTTTGGGAGATATCTACGACATCATACGTGGGCGGCGAAACGTGTCTGCAATTGCTACAGGTGAGAAATTTTAAATAAAGACATAGTTGTTTCGATTGTATTAAATGACTTTCTCAAATTCTCATATAAATTCCACAAATCGTAGTTCTTCAATTGTATTATCTAATTCAATACATAGATAATTTGATTACACTCTTATTAAAAAAATAACTTGATTTTGACTTTGCTCCAAATTATTTCGCCAAAGAAAGCCCAGTATGACTTATTATCCATCGTTGTCTATGTGTCATGTTGTTTGACAGATGCAGGGACATAAAGTTATTTTTGATTGTCAAAAAATACTTTTCTTTGCACTTTTTTCTTTGTACTTTCCACTGGATTGTAGGGAAATGGAAGTAGACAACCAACCCTCTTCTTTTTGTTTGAAAAAGGGGCTTTTGAGTAAATACATTAATAGAGCCGGAGCATACTGGCAGTAAAAAGGTGTTGAACGTGCATTATATATATGTAACGATCTACGTAAAAAGCTAGGAAGAATTAAGGGTAAATGTGACGTGAAATGTTGCAAGGTCTTAAATTACTGAGGTCACGACGGGACAAGACAATTCAACTGCGATGTTGTTTGATTAATGCACTTGCTAAACAAAGGAATACTCGTTACTAACCATTTTTAAAATCATTGTTTGACGTCATTAGAACAACAAGAAAAAAGTTTATTTTAGAATATTTAAGATATACAAGTAGAAGCACAATCCATGTATCAGTCTCAAACCAAATTACACTTCTGTATTCTTATATGCCCTTTAGAAGAACCCAGTTTTCAACCTATAGATCTAGCCTAAAGTAGCCAGTTTCATTTTAAATACATGTATGTAATGAATATTTTAAAAACATGTATGCAGTGAATGTTAATTAAGAGAGATAAAGCCTATTATTCTTTAAAAAGTCATCTCATTTGAGATTTCTTATGTATATTGTTTTATAATGTCCTTAAATATAACCGAAGAAAACGAGATTATTCCATTTCGTATAAATAATCAGCAGGATAA